TTTTAGTTGAACAGTCGACTGTCTCCCAGGTGTTCTAGTCCCCTGTTTAAATGGCACTGGGATCTGTGTGATTTCTTGTGGGGTGACCCACTGTGCTGGCTGAAACAGCCGCTCTGAGATTTGTGGCCCTTTTTTGTCTGGGAATCTCCTGGCCTCGCTCCCTGTTTCAGTCCCCTTTTTAATCAGATGAATGGGCGACTCTGCCTTCGCGGAGCTCCAATCACCAGCTAAAGTGGCACCCGGACCTCTGTAGTTTGTATAGAGAACCACTGTGCCGGGGTACCAGCTAAACAGCCGTGCCGGCCAAACCAGCTGTGCTGGTGACCCGTGGGGCTCCTCCACTTGGGAATCTCCTGGTCTGTGAGCAATAAAAATCCGTCTAGAAATGCGGTGTCCACTCACCCTCCGCAGTTTCACTGGGAACTACAATCCTGAGCTGCTCCTAATCGTCCATCTTGGATCCCTTCACTTATGTATTTTAAAAACCAACTCTGTTTTGGAAAGTAGAAAGTATTTCAAAATCATATATATGTATATACCTTATATATCCTTTATTATATGTCTATATATGTACATATAGGATGAAGCTGTTTTCTGAACTCAACTCCATTTGCCTGCAACTGTCAAATAATGACATTCACAATGGCCTCAATCCAAAGGAGAAGCATTTAATATTTTTCATAAGAATTGATGATCTTTCCAATATCAAAACTAAGGTTTGCTACTAACAACAAATTTTCTAGTTTTTGGATATTAGTTTATCTTCTAAAAATATTAACAGTCAGTTTTATTGTTTTCACTTATAGGAAAGTAGGAAAAAATAGCTGGGTCAGAGTCCACATTTTTGTCATTATTCTTACTTTTGTGGAGAGTAAGAGATTGCTCTAAGTAGTTTCTCCTTTCAAGGCAAAGAGCTTTGAAAACAATGACATGCTATGGTATACATTTAGTGATAATTTATTAAGTATTTTGTTCTCAGAGAAATAGTTCAGTGTATTTCACACTTATCACTGTTTCAAACATTATAAAGAGGAAATAAAAGTTATTGCAATAATAAATAATCTCATTATTTCCAAGAAAAACACTATAAATTGTATCCTATTTATCATCCATATTTTGAATTAAAGGCTTCTTTTGTATTTATGTAGTTACACCACAGAAGTAACTGTGATTTTGTGGAGGATCACTAGAAGTAGC